AAGAAAAGCAAGACGTCCTCGCTGACTTCTGTAAAAAAAAAAAAAAAAAAAAAGCAACAGCCAATGAAAATGTCTTGGAGGGCCTGCCCCGTGGCTCACTCGGGAGAGTGCAGCGCTGATAGCGCCGAGGCCGCGGGTTCGGATCCTATATAGGGATGGCCGGTGCGCTCACTGGCTGAGCAGACGACACCGTGCCGAGGGTTACGATCCCCTTACCGGTCAAAAAAACAAAAAACAAAAATGTCTTGGAGCTCTCTCCCCACACAGGAGTACGGATCTTTAGTATGACCCGGTGTGGGGGTCGAAGCCCCCAGGCCTAGCTCCTTAACAGGTTACCAGCCTCTCCGCCCACCTGTCGGCTTTTAACCACTCATCTCCCAAGAAGGCAGGGCCCGCCTTCACCCCTCTACTGAGGCAAGCGTCGGTCCCGCGCGTAAAGCGTGTACGCTCTTGGGATCGGGGAATCCCCAACGCGCGTAGCGTTACCGAGGAGAGAACGAGGTTCACGGCCTACCCCACAATGCACAGCTCGCCCTTCCGGAAGCAAGGACTATAACCCGTGCAATGCACTCATCCGGGCGGAAGCGACTCACCTTGAGTCTGATTGGAAGTGACGAAGCGAGGCATTGTGGGACTTCGTCCGTCTCCCAGTAAGCGTGTGCCAACCGGCCTCGCTCGGCTCCCGCAGCCACGTCCGGGAGGTGGCGGCGGCGAGAGAGGTATGTCAACGGAGCAGGCCAATCCCCTCCGTGCGCAGCCGCAGTGGCTCGGGCAGCACCGGAAGCGCAGGGGGATGGGGCGGCGGTGACGCGATTCTGTCCGCGTTGGAGGGGCCGTGCTGCCGCCGGAGTCGCCGCGGCCGCCTTGTGACGTGGCACAGCCTTAATACTAGAGCCAGAGCTGCCGCGCCAGTCGCCCAGCAAGTCCTCACCCCGCTAATTCCTGTCCCGGAGCGTCTTCCGACACGCCGGCCAGCAAGCCGTCCCTGCCTCCTTTTTCCTCCGCTGTTTCTGTTCCCTCTTGCTGAGTTTGCGGTGAGCTTGAAAGGAGAAGGCCTGGGGACGCCCCGAACCCCTTCTGCCCATCGCAAGTGCCATTACCGCCATGGGCCTCACTATCTCATCTCTCTTCTCCCGCCTCTTCGGCAAGAAGCAGATGCGTATTTTGATGGGTGAGTGAGGGGCCTTGGGTCGAGGCCAGGCCTGGGTGGAGGTAGGGGATGGCCGGGTCTCTACCCTTGGGGTGGCCTCGGGGCCTTTATTTCCCCTCTGCCGGCCGTGGTGGGGGAGGGGCGTCTGGTCGGGGGTCAGGAAGAGTCCTTAAAGGGGAACAATGGAGGAAAGGGGGAGCGATCGTCCCGGATCTGTCGCCCAAAGAGGCTGGGATAGGGCCTCGGGCAAGGTTTCCTCTTTTGGGGCTTGGCTTACTCTTCTTGATCTTAATGAAAGCTGGACAAGGTTGGGCGGGGATATGGGGGAAGCGAACTCTCCGAAGCGAACACTGGAGAGTCCCATTTTCACGGTGCAATGTGTATCCCCTCTTCCCGGGTGTGGGCAGCGGCCGAGAGGGAGGCAGAGCGACTCCAGCCTTCCTCCCTCTTTCCGCTCCGTGTACACATTCTGCACACTCCATTGGTATGTGAGCGAGCGGCCGCCAAGAGCCGCCCCGGGCAGGAAGTGACCAGGCCCAGAGTGCGGTGGCGAGGGAGCACCCCAGGTTTCCGAAGAGTCTGGAATCCTCAGCTCTCAGTGTGCTAAAATTTCGCCTCGCGGTAGATTCCGTTCCATATTTTTTTCTTCTTAAGCTAATTTTCTGAAAACTGAGTTGATCATGTGTGTTTCTTTTGGATACTTTCAAGAACTCTGCACATATTTGGTTTACTGTCTGGTTTTCACACTAATTTTTATTCAGCTGGCTTAAGTCTGGATGCAAAAACTTTTAGAAACTGATTTTTTTTTTTTAACTTCATAAATTTTCAATAACTAATCATGACGCTTAATTTTAGGGTAGCCTTGTTAACTAGTAACTACAAAGTTGTTTTTTTCAAATTCTTTTAGAAAATAGACTTAAAAAACTGCTTTTCAGGGCGGTTTTTTGCTCAGCTGAGGGAGAAGGGCTGTCACATGGGTGATGTAAGCAGCCCCTCCCCTCACAGTAGTACTGTGAGTAGTCTGTACATCACAGCGGAGCTCCTTGGACCTGAATAATGCTAAAAGGAGCCCCTCTAGCTTTGAACGTTGAAACTTGTTGGTTCCTTAGCTTGTTTTCGAGCGGGGAAGGTTTTAATTTCGAGCTCTTCTACCATTCAAAAGCAAACTTCTGTAATATTTGAAGGTGAATGAAGAGTAAGAGTATACACATTTGGTCTCGTTTCACTTTCCTGTTAGTTCAGCTTTTTCATAATTCATAAAACAATTGTTCATCATTCATTGACAAAGATAAATCAAAATGTTTTCTCTTTCAAAGTTTCTGAGGTTTCCTTTATGAACATAGAGAACCGAATTACTTTAGGATGGCAAGCATATCGTTTAAGCTTTAAGTGAGACTTGGCAGTCTGAAAAAGGAACTCAAGTCAATGGTAGGACTTTGGTCTGTGATCAGTGGATTTCCTCTCTGTTGCTTAAAGAGATTAACAAGTAAATGGTTGTGTTCTTGAAAATGTGTTATATTGGTCTTTTTTTCTTAAGATTTATTGTAAATGAATTGCTATTTTTCATTTCCTTAGTCTTTTGTGATGGTTAAAAGTGTCAAAAGGGGAAGAAAGGTAGAGATGTACTACAAGCACTTTCCTATATTTACTATATTTTGGGGGCATTCCCCTCGCCACAAATAATGATTGGAAGAAAATGGAAGAGGAAAAGTATTTAACTTTCTGCATTTGTACAGGCGATAGAAGTCATGATTTGGGATTGTTTATTTGACGTCAGATGTTTTATTACTTAGATTTGCTATTCTTGTTTGGCACTTTAATTTCAGGATGATCAGTTTTCTTTGATTAAAAACACTAAAGTCGTAAGGTCATCTTTTATGGTAACTCATCAAAGGTAGTATAAACATAGGAGGGATATGTGCATGAACAGGGAAAGAGGTAGTTTGGAAGTTCTATAATTCTTAGATTTTTTTTTTTTCTGACTTGATGATTGACAGCATAAATAATAGATCATTTTTAAGGTGTCTACCACATTCAGGTATTGGAATTACCAGTTAATGTTTTTTTCTGTATTACATTAGTGTGTTTTTTTCCCCTTTATAAAGCTTAGATAAAATTTATGCCTTCTTGAGTCAGTGGCTTTTTCAGACTTTACCATTTTAAAATGTATTAAGAGGTAGCATTTAGCTTATGGGTCTAGTTTGTCAACCTACTCATGCATTACTAACTAAATGCAGAAAACTGCATTTTCTCAGGTCATTAGTTGAAAACATAATTGCTAGTCTTTAAAATAATAAGGCCGTTCTGATTAGTTATGTCAGTATGGGAAACAATACAAAAGGTAAAAATCTTTAGTTTCAAGCCACTAGAAGTTGATAGATAACAGCCATCCTTAGAGGCACCCTTTTGCATTATTATAAAGCATGGTATCAGAGACTTTGATAATTTGCTGCTAATTAACTCATTGATAAAGTGCAGATGTTCCTGATCCATTGAGTAGAGGTAGAACCCAAGCTCCTTATGATTTTTCCTTATACCCATTAACCTCAGTTTCAGTTTGGATGGTCAAACCTCTGAGGAATTAGTAGATAAAATACAATGAAGATACAGTGTGTCTGCCAGAAAAATTAAAGGCAAGATGGCAGTATATAAATACTATTTGAGAGTTCTGGCTTCAGAAACCCTAACACATTAGGGTTTACAAAAATTTTTTTTTAACTTAAAAAAAATTGTGATGTAATTCATATCTCAAATAATTCATATTATAAAATTTACCTCTTCAAAGTGTACAATTCAGTGCTTTTTTAGCGTATTCACAAAGTTGTGTGACTATTACCACTGTCTAATTCCAGAATATTTTTGTCATTCCCAAAAGAAACCACATGCCCTTTAGCAGTGACTCCCATCCCCTCACCCCCATCCCCCTCCTCTGGCAACCACTAATCTACTTTCTCTTTCTGTATGTCTGTTCTGGACAGTTCGTATAGTGGAATCATGTAATATGTGGCCTTTTGTGTCTGGCTTTTTTCTTTTCTTTTCTTTGACCGGTAAGGGGATCGCAACCCTCCGCATGGTGTTGTCTGCACCACGCTCAGCCAGTAGCGCACTGGCCATCCCTATATGGGATCCGAACCCGCTGCCTCGGCGCCATTAGCGCCGCACTCTCTCCCGAGTGAACCACGGGGCTGGCTCGTGTCTGGCTTTTTTCACTTGGCATGTTTTCAAAGTTCATCCATATTATAGCATATATTAGTACTTCATTCCTTTTTATGGCCAAATGTAGTAATTCCATTGTATGGATAATACTACATTTTGTTTATTCATTCATCAGTGGATGGAAATTAGGTGTTTCCACTTTTTGGCTCTTATGAATAATGCCACTATGAACAACCATTTTTGTGTGGGTGTATGTTTTTCATTCTCTAGTAAATACCTAGGAGTGGAATTGTTGGGTCATATAGTAACTATTTAACATTTTGAAGAACTAACAAACACTTTTCCAAAGCAGGCATACCAGTTCACATTTCCACTAGCCACATATGAGGGTTCTAATTTCTACACAAGACTTAGGTTTTTAATACCTGCTCTTCTACTTCTGTGATTTTTTGGGGGGGGGGACATTTCTGAACCTCAGGTGCCTCATCTGATAAATGGAAAGTTATTGGGAGGAATAAATTACAAAAATTTATGGAATCACTTAGTATTGTGCTTTGAACACAGTAAGCACTCCATTTTAAATCATTATTTGAAAGTTACTATGAAGGTGTATTTCGTGCTTCTTGTAGAAAATTTGAAAGATAAAGGAAAACATGGAAAATCTATCATCTTACCCATGCGAAAATACTTTTGTCTTCCCAGTATTTTTCCTTCCTGTATTTTTTTTTTTAACCTCAAAGCTGAGTTAATTGGATCTAGCTTCTTTAATTTAAAATCTAAGTATTTCTTGCTGCCATAATTTGTTAGACATACTTTTTAATGATTAGCAAAGATTTTTGAGGTAGTTTTACTGCTGTATTAACACTTTGGTCAAAGTGCAGCTCTAGTTAAGAATAAGTAATGATTCCAGTATATCTTTCAGTACAGTGACTTGTTTATGGAGGCGAAGGGGATGGAGAACATTGCTGCACTGTACAGATTAGTCTTATCTTGGCTAGTTGATAATTGGTTATAGTTTCATATTGTGGAGAAATCTCATTGTCAAATATTGCAGCAGTAAGGAAATACATACTTTAGAAATGACTAAAGTGGCACAAAATTGTTAGACTAACATGTTTTTGAGTAAAGAACTATATAATGAGTTTTAAGTGATAATGTTGTACATATGTACATATATAATTTGTACATCTTAAAGCTCACAGTAGAAATACTTTTTTTTTTTTAAACTTTCAGTTTGCATTTATACAGCACTGTTATTTTGATTATAACTGCAGGTGATAATGTTGTACATATGTACATATATAATTTGTACATCTTAAAGCTCACAGTAGAAATACTTTTTTTTTTTTTAAACTTTCAGTTTGCATTTATACAGCACTGTTATTTTGATTATAACTGCAAAAGATACTTTCTGTGTGGCTGTGAGCCATTAAACTTGTCTTTTTATTTAAAATTTAATAAAATTTTTATTTAAAAAATAATTCGTGTACTGTCCAACTGCCAAACAAAAATTTATGGCTGCTGAAAAGGCCTTATGGTTGCATTATTTTGTAAATTCTTACCTTTTCTAAAAAATAAAAGAGTATATAAAACATATTGAAGGCCTTTAAGCAATCATCTTCGAAAAGATACCAGCCCAGCATTTTTTTTTCTTTTTGGTGCTGGCTGGTAAGGGGATCTGAACTCTTGACCTTGCTTGGTGTTACCAACATTTTAATATAATAAATCGACTTGGGATTTTTTTTCCCTTTTTCAATGAAAGTAATACATGTTTATTAGGTAAAAAAAATTCTAACAGAGAAGTAAATATGCATGCAAGCAGGTATAACACTTATTAAAAGATCTTTTTTGTTTTTGTTTTGGTGGCTGGCAGGTATGGGGATCCGAACCCATGACCTTGGTGTTATAAGGCTGTCCTCTAACCAACTTTGTTAACTGGCCAGTTCAACACTATTAAAAGAAAAATCAGATTACCTACATGCTTTTTCTATAACCTTATTATACAATCATGGTTTGTCTAAAATTTCATTCATTCTTAGGCAGTATTTTTGGATTTATATTGTTTTTCAATGGCAATATGAGATCTAGTTGGACCTTCAGTGAGGACTGATGGGTACCATAGTGCTCAAAACCTGACTCAGGTGTTTTTGTTTTTCCTTATCAGCATCTCAGTTTAAATTCTGACTTGGCTTAATTGTATTTGGATTTAGTTAAAGGTGAATTTTGGTGTACTTAATTTGATCAAAATCACCCAGAGAGGTATTAGGCTTTCAGGAGACTTAGCCTAGTAGAACAGTTAAAGAATCTGGTTGTTTTTGTGTGCCTTCACCCACTTCGTTTTCTGTATTTTTTGCTGAAGATGCCAAACTTTAAGGTAGCTACTTTTGTTTCATTGTGTATTTTTTAGAATTATGTTTTCTGATCTTTTCATCTTTTTCCATAGTCAAAAAAAAAACAACACGTGTAACAAACAGTTGGATTTTCATATGCCATGAATGAAGGCTTGGGGTGGGCTGCTCACTCTAGTAAGTATCACAGTATTTTGGAAAGTATAAACTTGCATTTCAATACCAGGAGGTGGGGAATAGGGTTTGATTAGAGAACACAGGAATAAGGCAGCATAAAAGGCTTGAGTTTCCAGGAAGATCTTAAGGATACCTGTTGTGTAAGTTACAGAGTAGAAGGGGTGGGAGGAGTCTGAGTTGCTTGTAGCTTTTGTTTGTTTTGGACCAGCTTATAAAAGTTAAACTTATTGTACTTGCTCAGGAATATAAATTAGATAAGTGAGGTGATTTCAACCCTTTTTAACTTACTAGCATTGTTTTCATGTGCCATGTAATGCTTTGATTTAAATATTAAGAAAGTGTCCTTGTTTAAATCAATACGCAATTGAATTGATTTTAAAAATCTGTGATAAACCCAGGGGGTGAAATGTGATGTCCTTAGAACAATATATTCATTGAAGTTCTTAGATATTGATCTTTCATTTATGAGGGCTTTAACAAACAATGTAGAATATAAAGGTTTTAAGAGAGTCATACTAATAAGCAGTTAATTTGTTTTATCACTGTAGGTATACCTTCTAGTTCTAATGTGGATCCCCCCCCCATGTATTTCTCCCTGCACATTTGATGTTGAGGTAGATTTAAGTAGGATGGCCTCACTTCACTTATTTTCATTATAAGGAGACTAGGACATAGTTATATATTATTCCCCCTTAGCATCAAGATCCATTACTTAAAATTCACTCTGTAAATAAAAGGAAAACTAAATTTACGAAAGTTAATTCTGTACTCACTTGTTCTGATGTGTACTCTGATTCAGCTTCTTTTTTTTTTTTTGTCTTTTTTCCGTGTCCGGCAACGGATC